TTCTGACCACCGAGGAGCTATTTAATAGAATTTCATTTTTAGAGGCACATAGTCCAGAAAAAAACAAAAACAAAAACAAAAACAGTTTTTCTAGTTATGATATTGAATCAAATAACCATTCTGTGCCCAGAGTGACATAACTGTAAAATGAGCCTTATTTCTCATAAGTGTCCTTTTTGCCAACTGCTCACAAATTGTATGCTGGCTTATGGAAGGACTCCTGTGTCAATGCTGTCACTTTTGTCCCTTTGGCTCTCCATGAAACTAGTCATTTTTCCTCTTTTTAAAGAATGTTCTTCTTTTCTCAGGTTTATTAGGTCTCTAATACCCATCAGAAGTTCTTGAATTCCTATCATTTTTTTTCTTCAACCATGGTTGTAGAGGAATACAGAGAATATTTTCATAATGTTCAAGTAAAAAAATATTTCTAAGCCTGTCAGAAACTAAATAACCTCTAAAAGATGATATATGGCAAATAGTATACAAATGGTAACATATCCCTAACTATAACTAATTCCAAAACTCTGAGCGGTCAAAAGCAATCCTAATCTCAAGAAAAATACACATCTTCATAAACAGCAAAATCTCCTATAAGAGAAGATGGTCAAGAAAATGCCTCAGTAAATTAGACCAAGAATGTGGTTGAAAATCTAAAAAACAATGACATCAGAATACGGGAAAATGGCCTAAAGTAATTTGAATTAAAATTATGCCGTTGTCAAAAATTTTTTTTTGTACTTTAGGTTCTGGGGTACATGTGCAGATCATGTAGGGTTGTTGCATAGGTACTTACATGGCAAGGTGATTTGCTGCCTCCATCCCCTGTCACCTATATCTGGCATTTCTCCCCGTTATCCCTCCCCAACCTTCGCACCCCCCACTGTCCATCACCTAGCACCCTCTGACAGACCCCAGTGTGTGATGCTCCTCTCACTGTGTTGATGTATTCTCATTGTTCAATATCCGCCTATGAGTTGTCAAATTTTTATAATGTGAGAATGAAAATTTTAGAAGCATACATTGTAAAACATAATTGAAGTGTAATTTGTTAATACTATATATCAAAATTAAGATGAAAATCTTTTAATCAGAATTAAACCTGAAGTATCCTCGGGTATAGCAAGGAGTAAACAATGTCAGCACCAGATTTGCATTAAAAGATGATACATTTAACGAAAACGAAACCTTAAGGACTAGTGAGCCAAGTAAAGGCCAGCTAATGGGCAGCAGAGACTGCTAGTGAGCACCCACATAAACCCACATTTTTCTCTACATTTTAAAGCCTTTTCTGGACTAAGTGCCTCTAAAAATGAAATTCTATTAAATAGCTCCTCAGTGGTCAGAAAAACTCATCACTAAATGTTTCCCTCACTGCTATGCCTTATGTTGCATATCCTAAATTGAATTTGACAATTAGAGGAAAACCCTTGTTTTGAGTTACTCAATTCTACTTTCTTATCATCATTGTAATGTGAGAACCTGGCAGAAGACTGGGGCTATGTGACTCTGTTTTGGCCAATTACATGTGAGCAAAAGTAATGTATGCTGCTTTTAAGCTTTACCTTAAGACCCCTGCTCAATCATCCATTTTCTATCTACAATGACCGTTGAGTCCATATGTTGATGGCATCCAGCAATGAAAATAACTTGAATCCTTAGCTTATTAGACAGTCCCAAGGAGAGCCACCTAGCCTGAAGTGACTGTGATGTCACTAAGAATAAGCCTTTATTCCATTAAGCTATTGAGTTTTTTAGGTTTATTTGAAATATACAATTGCTTAGGACAGTGCTTCTCAAATTTTAGTGGACATAAAAATTCTTCGGAGACGTTCTTAAAACCCAAGTTTCTGGGTGAATTCCTTAGAGATTTTGATTCAGTAGGTCTGAAGATGGGGAAATTGTGATTCTGCATGTCTAACAAACTCCTGGATATTAATGCTGCTAGTCCACAGACAACACTGGCCTAAATATTCTGAATAAAATACTGGGAGTAGAATTAGATTAACAAAATGTGTGTAAAAAAAAATGTGAGGTCTTGAGGCAAGATGGAAACTTAGGCTGATATGCACAAGGAACTGAAGATGGGTGAGTGGAAAAATTATTGTAAGCAAAATGATGAGTCAAGATGATACAGAAAGTTCAAGTTGTGAGCTTGGAGGTCATATTTGGCACCAAATCAGAATTCCCAGAGCAAGCATGTGGCACTAGTACAAAATTAGTTGTCTCACGAATATTTCGTGGTATTGATGGAGTGCAGAATTTGTTCACAAATATGACACATATGACTGCCAGCATACCCAGTCTGCTGTACCAAATGTTTCCAAGACAAATTCAATGGATTCTGAAAACTCAAAGAAAAAGATATTTTTTATCAAGTGTAAAAGCTGCAGTGTGAGTAGGCATTTTGATAGACTAATACTCTGTGAACAGCCTTACCTCTGTCTATAAATTAAGGCTGGAAAACGAAGAGGGAATCAGAGCATCATTATCTTTGTAGTCACCAGAGGCCTCAAGAAGAAGCAGTGGTATACTCAGTGACAATGTTCACAGTGGGTAGGAATCAGAGACACACATGTGGACCTTACCAATGAGTGGGGAGAAAGTATGACCAAAGACTCATTTCTTAAATGAACCCTATATCCCCATCATAATATATGGTAGAAGCAGTGTATGGTAACTAGTGAGTGGGGCTTCTGGAGTCAGATCACCTGTGCTCAAGTCAAACCTCTACTACTTGTTATCTTAGTGATCCAGGAGCAGGTTACATTTCTTCTATTCCTCAGTTTCCTCATTTATAGCACTGTTTGCTGAAAAAAAACCTGTAAACTAGAGTTTGATAAAGAACTAGATATTCTTTATCTAGTCAATATTAGACAGAGCAATGAAACAGAAAATTAACCAGGATATCCAGGACTTGAACTCAGCTCTGGCCCAAGCAGACCTAATAGACATATACAGACCTCTCCACCCCAAATCCAAAGAATATACATTTTTCTTAGCACTACATCATACTTATTCTAAAATTGACCACATAATTGGGAGTAAAACACTCCTCAGCAAATGCAAAAGAACAGAAATCATAACCAATAGTCTCTGAGATGACAATGCAATCAAAATTAGAACTCAGGATTAAGAAACACTCAAAACGCACAACTATGTGGAAACTTAATAACCTGCTCCTGAATGACTACTGGACAAATAATGAAATGAAGGCAGAAATAAAGATGTTCTTCGAAACCAGTGAGAACAAAGACACAAAGTACCAGAATCTCTGGGACACATTTAAAGCAGTGTGTAGAGGGAAATTTATAGCACTGAATGCCCAAAAGAGAAAGCAGGAAAGGTCTAATTTTGACACCCTAATGTCACAATTTAAAAAACTAGAGAAGCAAGAACAAACAAATTCAAAAGCCAGCAGAAGACAAGAAATAACTAAAGTTAGAGCAGAACTGAAGGAGATATACTAAATTTTTTAAAAGAGTGAATTAACTATTTATATATAGATATGAAAAACTCTCCAAAACAAGTTGACAAACAATGGCCTGTGGGCCAAATCTGACCCATGATCTGCTTTTGTAAATAAAGTTTTATTGGAACACAGCTATGCTCATACATCTGCATATTGCTTATGGCTACAGAAGGGAAGCCTAAAATCTTTATTACTGGCTATTCAGAGAAAAAGTTTGCTGAGCCCTGCTGTAAGATATTACAATAAACAATAAAAGTAATGAACATCTTGCATGGTTTATGCCATTAATGTGGTACAAAATATATGGATATGCAAATGTATAGAATCTTTCAATGAATTCAGAAAGAAAAATATAAAAATTATGACATGCACTCTTCTCTCCCCTCTTTAGTATCTTTTGTATCTTTTACCATGTAACATGAATTATATGTACATGTAAATAGCATTATTCATGCATAAACATTAATGTTCAGTTAAACATAGATATATGCAGAAATAGCACAAGTGTTGTACAGCTGGATTAAACCATTTAACAAAAGTCCAACTTATCAGCAGTTTGGCTATGTTAAATTATATATGCAATTGATCTAATTGATCATTCTCAATAATTATCCTTACATTAGAAAAATTCACCTTTAAATTCTATCTATAATAGAACTGCTTAATTGTAGTTTGCTGCATCTTAAGTTTTAAAACCACTTTAAGAATTTCCGGTGTCATCTCTTCATTAATATTATTGTAAATTTGGAATACTACAATAGAATGATAATTCTAGGGGATGGAAAGTCCAAGATTAAGGATCCAATAAATTCAGTGTCTGATGAGGACTGCTCTCAGCTTCCCAGATGGCACCTTGCTGTTGTATCCTCACATGGTGAAAGGGGTGAGTGCTGTGTCCTCACAAGGCAGAAGAGTTGCAAGGACCAGGCAGCTCTCTGAAGCCTCTTTCATAAGGGCATTAATCCCATTCATAAGGGTGGAACCCTCATGGCCTAATCTTCCTAAAAACCCCACCTTTTAATACCATCAGCTTATAGTTAACGTTCCAAAATATGAATTTTGGAGGGACATGTACATTCAAACAATAGCAACCACTCTCTAAAATCTCTAAGTACTTCTATGTGCTGTCCCAATAATGCCAGGGAAAAAACTTTATCATGGTCTTCTCAGTCCTCTTTGACGTCTAGTCCCTAAGCTACAAGTTCTGAAAAGACTTCTTCAAACCTGTGTATGAGAAAGGCTTGACTGGCTACCCTGTAGTATAAGCAACCCTGAAATTAACAACTTAACACAACAATATTTATTTCTTGCTCATACTGCATGTCCATCTCTGGCCAGAATACTCTGTTTGATGTGGGACTCAGAGACCCATCATGACAAAGGCTCTACTGTCTTGTGGTTTTATTGCATGGAACATGTAGCCTCAGTTGCTGTGTTCGGGAAGAGGTGGAGGGTTGGACACTGATTTTAAGTGTGTGAACTCAAAAGTGACACTGGACACCCCTGCCTACAGTGTAGCAACCAAAATTAGTCATGCGTACCCAACGAATATTTTGAACCAGGAAGTACCAATAATAATACTTTGATCTCCTTTGAGGGGTGGCATTTCCTCAGTTACAGCTGCACTGGTATCATCAGCAGTAGGGTCATCTTCATCAATACCTAGACCAAATTTGATCATCCTATAGATCCTGTTAGCATGTGTCTGGGGATCTTCCAGACTGAACCTGGAAGACAGGGTCACAGTTTCATAAAGCAGGATGACCAGATCCTTCACAGACTTGTCGTTCTTATCAGCCTCTGCCTTTTGCCTTAAGGTCTTGATAATGGAATGGTCAGGGTTTATCTCCAGGTGTTTCTTTGCTGCCATGTAACCCACTGTTGAGTTGCCTCTTAGGGCTTGAGCTTTCGTGATTCTCTCCATGTTTGCTGTCCAGCCATATGTGCTTGTGACAATACAGCATGGAGATGTCACCAATCGGTTTGACACAACCACCTTTTCAATATTTTTCTCCAATATGTCTTTCATGATTTTGCAGAGGTTCTCAAACTTTGTTTTTTTCTCTTCCTGTTTCTTTTTTTCTTCTTCATCCTCTGGAAGTTCCAAGCCCTACATCATGCATGGAAGAAGTAGACTAAGCTCCAGCTGAGGGATGACTTACCTGTTCAATACTCTACAGTTCCTCTAATAATATATTTTCAAGGATGTTTTTCTTTATTTTTGTTAACATTAAAAAGTCTGTATGGCATGACAACAACTACTTTAAGGGGAAGATAAAGATTCTTGTCGACTAAGCAATGCTGTGATACTTTAGGCAGTAAAGCAGAGCTAGTAATGCTTTTTTAGTTTCACATTGGCTTACATTAACAGATCAAGGTAATGTGTGTTGTAAGATGTATGTAACATGTTAACTTTGTGGTCTAAAGTGTTTAGCTATCAAGCCGGATTCCTTAGTAGACCAAATCTTGTTATTGAAGTGTTCCCAAGCTATACCTTGATATTTAGAAGAAAAGTATTTGTTATATCTTGTAGGATCTACTTTCTGAACTTTTCATCCCCTGTAGTTGCCAATTCTTCATGTACTAGTCCGCTAGAAATAGGTTAAACTGAAGCAACTTGATGGAACTCTCCATAGGGCTTGTTTTCCAAAGAAAAGTATTGTTTGGAGGAGCAGTAATTAGCCTACCTAAGCATATCATAAGCTGTTCAAAAATAACTCAGAGCCAGTCATGTGGATGGAAATGTAGTACTCGAGTCACATTCTGTTTAAAGTTGTAACAAATACAGATGAGTTAAAAGAAAAAAAAATGATAATAATACTTTGATCTCTAATAATACCTTGGTCCAGTTTCTCAAATTTTTTGCTGTTTTCATAGTTTTCATTGCTGAAACATTGTCAGTTGATATAAACAGTTATACTGTATAACTCTAAGGCCTACATAAATTTGTCCAGCAAGGGAAAAATGTAATTTGACTGCAGAAACCTATGGAGATTAATACATAGACCACTGTTTCTCAATGACAACTGCACATCAGAATTAGTGAGAAGATTTAAAAATTACTCTTTCTGAGACACCACTAGAGATTCTAATTCAATTGATGTGGGTTAAGGGAGTCCAATATATCTTATGACAATTCCCTACGTTTTTTCTCACTGAGTGGGTGGGAGTTTATGTTGAAAAACAAAATTCATGTCCATAAATGTTCAGATCCTTTTAGTCATTAAAACTTTAGTCATTTATGCGTTCCTGGGTTTATGAGCTTCTTTAAGTCAGATATTAGGTGCTGGTAATAGAATTTGATAATAAAAAGATGACTGTTCCTCAGTTTATCATAAAGATGAGTAGAAGGTAATACTGGTTAACTTGTTTTAACCTATTTAGGTTGAGATTCACCAAATTGAAGTTAAAATAAAATATATGAGTCTTATTAGAGATCTTGCTTGGGAATTCATTTTCCTAAGCATTCAGTAGGTGACATTAATGTTATTAATAGTTTTTCGAGCTCTAAAATGCTCTATATGAGAAAAATATACGAGAATTGTTAACTGTGAGATCATCAGCAAATAAATTCATTGAGTATGACTCACATACAAATCGATTAAGTTACTTCTGCAAATGTTATGCTTGACGACTGTTCATAAAGCATAGTGGCCTAAATAAGATACTTTTGTGTAAAGCATCAGCCTATCAAGTTGCTAGTCATGTACCTAATTTTATTCAGATTAGTTTCACTTTCATTTATATATAATTATGCTTTTTCATATTTTTCTACTACTATTTCCTCTTTCTGAGTCATTCTTTAAACCACTGAAAGATAAGATACTATTATATTCCTTGAATGCCATGCTTTTCTAAGAAAAACGTTGAATCAGTACAGGAAAAATGTTGGTAACTTCAATCACATTAAATCAAGGAACAAAATTAAAACAAAATTTATGGCAAGAAAGCAAAAATAAACAAGTTTGAAAAGTATTTTACAGTATATACGTCACATGAATTACACAAAATTCATAAAATTAATCACAAGAAAAACTGAAAATAATGAGTGAAAATAGTTTTGAATCATCTGGTAGGACAAAAATACCATTTATAACATAAATCCATAGAGGATTTATAAATTTGACACATAAATTTCAAATTTGATGAGTCTAACCTCAAAACAAAAACAAAAATTCTACCATTAACAATGAAATAAAAAAACGTGAACCCTAGTAGAAAGTTGGATAAAAGCATAATGTTAACTCATATAAGAATAAAGATAAATGCTAAATAAGGTTATAAAAATGTCAACCTTTTTAATAACGAAAAAATAAGTAGATTATTTTTTACTTTTAAGACTGGGAAAGATTTAAAATTAATGTAGTATTGGAGAGAATGTAAACTGATACATTTTTGGAAAACAATTTGTAAATAACTACCGAAAATTTCACTTGTCTTTTAACTACCAATTTCAGTACTAAAAATTCTAAAAACTGTGAGTTGATAGATGGATGTTTTAGGGTATGCACAGCAGAAATTCTAGAGGTCCAATCTTGGAAGCAATTCATATTTCAAAATTATTTTCTGACTTTAGAAAGTCCATATGGTGTTTGAGTGTATGTGTGTGCACACGTACACAGGTGTGTGTGTGTGTGTGTGTGTGTGTGTGTGTGTTGTGTAGTACCATCAGAGGCATTCAGGGAAGCATTTAATCACAAAACAACATTAATATTTCTAAATCAGAATATACAAATAGTTGTATTAAGTGTAATAAACACAGACAGTAAATAGTTTTAGACGAGTTCTGGTCAGTTTCTCACATCACATGATTTTAGGCTATGTTAGTTTCAATCTCCAAATTAGTGAAAAAGAGACAATTTTAAGTGCTTTTGGAGTTTCAAAATTGCAAATAATAGACCATTAACCTAAATTATTTTTTTAAACTGAAAACTAGTTATCTTCAGTTTATGATTCTCCCATAGTATATCTACTAAGGAATCATTTTAAACAGTGACAGATTCAATGTTGCAATAAAAATGCTTAAGATACAAAGTGAGAAAAAGAACAGCAACATCATCCATTTCTTTTGTGCAACAAAATTTTTGATGATATTTCCTTTTCTTTGAGAGAAATAACACAAGACTTAAAGGCTACTGGGAGGGGACATGCAGATTTTATACATTGCCCAGCGTTCTTTTTTCGAAACTCAATTTCTTCATCTTTTAATAAATATCATCTATTACCTATAAACAATAAAATTTGTTAGAGTATATCAAGATGCACCTGAATGAACAAAGTTGTGTGACAACTGGGGACAAGGATATCATCTCCATGAAGATAGAAGAGAGAAGATCAGGGGTAAGACTTTGCAGAGCCAGGTGACAAAGATAAACAGAATCTCAGTCATACCTAAGACTCCTGTTTACAGGGCTGTTGTCTAATAAAATCTAAAGATCTGTGATTTGAAAGACTCAGGGCACTGATATTCAAATCAATAATAAAGATTCATACTACCTAATAAACAAAAAAAACCACTGCAAATAAAGTAGAAAAACACTGAAAATTTTAAAAACAAGTCAAAACATATGAAAATCCATGCATGCATGAAGGATATGTAAAAAATACTTAAATATTTTTTTTTTTTTTTTTTTTTTTTTTTTTTTTTTTTTTTTTTTTTTTTTTTTTT